AGTCTGGCAGTGGTTTGAAGGTCAAAACAGAAATTTCTGAAAGGGAGTAAACTCCCCATCCAAAGACCAACTAATGGAAAGAAAATCCAACTAATTCTAGAATAGAATTGTATATGCAAATCAAGCAGCCATAGTACAGGTAAAATGTGAGCATATATATATATACACGTTTATCTACACACATGGGCAAAGAGTTGTCTAATCATATCAAATTTAAAATTTTCAAATCTATTTAGAAATCAGAATCTGAAATAGCGCGAAGCAGGTCAGGGCTAATAAAATAGATGAAGAAGAGCAGGGCTCGATTGGCATTTAGCAGAACTTCTAAATATTCCCATAGTCCGTGACCAACGCACAATATTTCACCTGAATGTTGCCTCTAGCACGTGTAACTCACTAAGCATGAGATGTTTGAGAAGCAAAGGATGTTACTTCCTTTCATATAAGGCTCAGCCCTCCATTTTCTGTCCCTGGTGCGGTGTGGGATAAAAAATTGCAGAAATATGTTTACCACATTACAAAATGAAAACTCTATACCCAAGCTGAAGCCATTTACCATATCTAAGTTTGTCCTATGACTGAAATCACTAGTCCCACATCACAAAACTAATAAAACTAAGAGCCATATATAAGTTCCATTTACAAAAAAGTAGCCCTAAGCAGCAGATTGCATGGCTTCAATGACTGCAGATCAAACTTTTGATGTCTGGTGAAATTACCCTAAAATTTGGTCAACTTGCCAATTACCATCCCTGTGTATGGGCTGGGAAAAAGTTTCTCCACAAACTACAATCATTTGCTGCACATTGCAAAAGTATTAAAACTAAGAAACATGTATAAATTCCACTCTCATGTAAGTTTCACTCTCAGAGATGGGAATTTTTTACAATCATTTGCTGGGAATAAGTTTCTCCAGCAACTACAATCATTTGCTGCACATTGCAAAAGTATTAAAACTAAGAAACATGTATAAATTCCACTCTCATGTAAGTTTCAATCTCAGAGATGGGAATTTGTTACAATCATTTGCTGGGAATAAGTTTCTCCAGCAACTACAATCATTTGCTGCACATTGCAAAAGTATTTACATAGAGCCAATCAGTTTATTAAAAACCATTAAAGTCTGGCAGGTTACCAGTAGATAGGTTCAAATTGCATTTTTATATATAGGCACGAAAACAATATCAGCGAGAGAGAGGACAACCTTTTTCATATTATTGAAAAGATACTTAGATCCATGCATCAAAAACATAAAAATAAAAATAAAATAACAGAACTTTTGTTTAAACTCCATTGTATGAAAGTAAATCACATAACGTTCATGCCTTAGCTATTGAATTGCTACTTTCTACTAAAGACAATAAGAATGGTATTTTCCTTCCTAAGTTAAAACCTTCAAGGATACTTAGCACATTACAATTAATCGTGTAGAACTGTACAATTTCTGTCTGCACCAAGTACAAATGACAGCAAAAGACAAAAGAGCAATCATTATAGGTGTCATACCATCACATTGAGGAGAAGGAAATTTTTTTAAAAGAAAAAAGGGCACAAGGAAATAAATGAGATAACACTAATGAAACCCAAAAGATATAATTCATCAAGCCATCCAAGACAAGCAAGTATGAACATAAACTACAAGCACATAGCAGGACAGAAGCATATGATAACACTGCTTGTGGGAAATTTAAGCAGACTTGATATAGGAAGAGAAGCAACCCATGTGCAAAAAGGACCCATCTAGGAGGAATTGAATCCAGGCGAGGTGAATATATCTGCAACACTTACATGTGAAAATATATCTTTAAGTAACAACTAAATAATTACCATAAAATAAATAAATAAAAAGAAACAAGATCCATTCATTTTACTATAACAATGCAGAACACTAATATTACACACCCAAAATTTATATCCAGAATTTTACCCAAAAACATTAAAATCCAGATTCATTCCATGCATGGACCCTACAATACACCAACTAAATCTCAAACACAATTTTCCTTTCTGGGGAGATTTCTTGACAAAAAATTTGGGTGAGTAGATTTCTCAAATGTAAAATAAGGAGAAAACCAAATTCATATAGAATGATATGATACTGAGCCTCCTAAAAGGAACTAGTAAATTCATTGAATTGTACCAAAAATAAAAAGGTCATTTAATTCAATGGAATTTCTTGGTTGTTCTCTGTAAAATACTCCTCCCATTATGATCCATAGTGATGATTTTTTGATTTCCAATAAATAGGTGTAAATAAGATATATTATTTTTTATATATAAATTATATTTATAACATATCTCTTTTTTGATACAATGAAGGAAAATAAGAGGTCCAAGTCATAACTTCTAATGAAGCACATAAAACTTTGGTCTCTACACTAATCTCAATAATTAACTTGTAAGAATTTCAATATCACATATCTTTCAAGTTGCATCAGCAATTATAGAGCCATCCAATAATTCTCTATATACAAACCTAAACAACAAAAACTAATTAATAATGTAATGTATGGTTTCATCATCAATAAAGATTTTCTTTGCTGATTAAAAAAAAAAGATGTGAGCCATTTAGTTTTCACATTATTTTTACAAATATATATACATATATAGGTTAATTATTCAATCAAATAATATTGACCACTTATTTATCATGTTAATTTATGCTTCTTTTTTTTTTTTTTTTTTTCTTTTTTTTCCCCTTTTTAATGAAATTTTCTTTGTTTACAATCAAAAAACGATCCAAAAAAGAAAAGAAAAAAAAAGTCTATATTATATAAAGGGATGGGGAAAATGTGGGGAGAAGGGAATAAAATGAAGTTGGCATGTAGTTGCATTACATCAAGGTATTCAGCTTGCTGCATAGTTTAGTTTATGATTTTTGTGAAAGAACTCAACTTCTTTTCAAAGGTTTGTCAAATGTCTTTTTTTTATATTATATTAAAGTTTAATATTTTGATAATACTCATATGTGTTGGCCTTTTCAAGAATTTTTTTTTATGTTTGTTCTTAATGCATTAAAGTGTCATTATGAGGGATAATAATCATATGTGTTGGGACTTTTGAAGGAATTTATATGTGTTGAATTTCAAAGAATTTTTTTTATACTTGTTCTTAATGCATTAAAGTGTTATTATGAAGGTAAGACTTGAGAGTTTGAAGGTGTTAATAAATGCTAAGATTTTTTTTTAAAATCAAAAAATCAGAAAATTTAAATTGGGAGATTGGAGCTCTCACAAGGCTTGGGGTTAAAAACTCCCTTTTGCTTAATATATAGTAAGTATAGATTATCCACTTAGATAAGTGTTTCAAAAAGGGATTAGAGGCATTGGGTCAGGTCTCATTTCAAAAATATGATTAGTTGATATTTTAATTTTTTTTGGAATTATTACATTTTAGTGATATCAAGAAAAAAAATATAAATTCATGAAAAGATTTATAAATTTAATTATTGCTATTTATAAATTTTATCATTCATTTGTAATTATTTTGTCAACACCTCACTAATGTGATATTTTTCTTTTCTTTTTCTTTTTCTTTTTTCATGCGTAGGTTATTCACACACAAAAGAAGGTGATTGATTTAATATTTATAATCATGTAATTATGGCACGTTTATTTTTTAAAAATGGATGATAAGTGTGATTTTGAAAATTATTCATTCATTTTTCTGAAAATAATATGATAAAATTATGTGGTTACAATTATCAAATTAATTTAATTTTATTAATTTTTTTTATAGATTATGTACAAAGAGATTTAAAAATCGATGGAACAAATCATCGAACTAGAGCCCATAGCGGATCCCCATGTCTGGACTAAACAGTACAGACCATAAAGGCCACATTTGATTGCCAGATTATTTTTGATGAGATTATTGATGGAATTGTGAGGGATAAGTTAAACCATAAAATTAGATGGAATGGGATGAAGGATTAGATATATTATAGGATTATTAGGGAAAAAATTATACCATAAGATAATGGATGAGATAAATGATTGAGCAAAAGGAATGATGTTTTATACTTTGTTAAGATGAAATAAAAAGATACAATTATTTTTTACAATTAGATGAAGGAAAAAAAATAATCTGTAGAGGGCTAATCCTTATAATACTACAATACTTATGGTATTATTTAATCCATATTTTTCTCTATTTAATCCTCCATACTTAAAATTATCTGGAGTTTAGTACCATGCAAAACAAGCACCGAATTGGACTATCCAGTGAAACACACATGTTCCTCATCTCCAATCCATTCCTCCTTATCTTGCAATCAAATACCTAACTAAAAATCTAATAGGTCTTACATATTTCCTCCCACTTTTAATCCCACCATTAATGAAGCAGTCAAAGGTGCCCAAAGTGGATTGGAGAGAACCGTTTGTTATTTTGAAAATGTAATGCATAGATCAAATTTATTTTGGTTATAACCGACACTATAACAAATTTAAATTTGAAAAAAGCGTGATAGCTCGAATTGGAGGGGACTTGAATGGCCCAAATAGGTGTTGGCTGGATGTCTGCATGGATGACCGGGTGAAAGATTGTCTACTGCAATTGTTATCTTTGTCGACCGCGACTATCAACCTCCTCGCCGGACCACCGCCCAGATGTCCACCCGGACGACCGACAAGATGAATTTCGAGTCATTCGAGCCAACTTCATATTCAAGCTACCAAACATTACTCTTTAAATTTATACCATACATTTCATTTTTAAGTATTTAACTGTTTTTTTTTATTCCTTTTCGGTTAAGCAAAAAGAAATCTACCTCTTTCTAGTCTAAGAGATGAATTAAAGAGTCTAGTCTGAACTCTCAAATTGTATTATGTCGACACTTTTTATAAATTAATATTAAAAGAAAAAATTTCAAACCAATACTAAGGTGTCGTTTGGTAACACTTACGTTTTCAGTTTTCTGTTTATATTTACAAAAATTTTAAAAACTCAAAAAAAAACTTGTTTGGTAAAATTTTTGATTTATAAATCAGTGGTCTCAGTTTATAAATTTGGCCAAAAAATGAAAACACAAAAAATGTATTTCCATTTTGAGTTTTAAGTTTTTTTTTTTTTTTTTACCACCCAAAAAATGAAAACACAAAAAATGTATTTCCATTTCCTGAAAAATGCTGCTATAGATGGGCTATTGTAGCGGTTATTGACCACAACTAAAAATTTAATTTTTAGTAACATTTTTTCCCTAAAACGCTGCCATATTTCTTTTTATAGTGACAGTTTGTACTCAACCGTTACAAAAAGCCAGGCAAAATAAAGGCCCGCCAAATTCAACTCTGATTTCGCGCAGAATCATAATTTTTTTTTTTTTTGGCTGTGTGGCTGAATAACATATCAGTATTTCAGTCCAAAAAAAAAAACCGTTCAACTCAAATTTGTGCCCTAGTCCACAACACTTCTTTGGGGCAAGTATCCGCGGCGACGCATCAACATTCATCCTCCCCCGCGGCGTTCATCATCCTCCCACTGTGATTTCAAGGTCAGTTTGCTCTCTCTGTTTCTCTTTCTCTATCCCTTTCTTTCTTCTTGTCTCTCGGTTTATCTCTCTGTCATTCTCCCTTTCTTCTACTGTCTTTGTTTCTGTTTTTCCCTTACTGTCTTTGGTCAAGTTTGGGTCAATGAAATTCATTGTTAAGCTACTACTTGCCACTCCATTCAATGCTTCTAATATCTCCAAAACTTCTCTACTTTGAAGGGATTTCATGAACATCTTGAATGATTTTGATTTGGGAAAATAATTTAGAAAATAGAAAAAAAAAAATTGTTGGTATTCTGATTTTTGATCATCTATGATATTCATATTTTAACCAATATAATTAGTGAAGTGAATAGATTGTTGTTGATGCTACACAATAAAATCTCATGCTTGAGGATTCATTATGTATGCTAGGTGTTTGATAAAATGCCACAATGGAATAATAGTGCCTACATTTTTGTTTATTGGTTTGTTCTGTTTTTCTGTCTCTCTTTTTTTTTTCTTTTTTTTTTGTTTGTGTTGAGAAAATTGTTGTCTATGAATTTAATGCACAATTTGTAATGTTTTGTTGGCTTAATAATGTGATTAGAGAAAATTGTTGCCTCTTTTCAGAGTCTCATGTTGTTATTTATGTTGGGGGGTTATTTTACTCCATCAAAACTGCCACCTGAACTTCTTGAAATATGGGCATATAAGGTTAGACTGTGGGTTACTGATGGATATTTGATGTTTATATTTCAGTACAGATAAGGCACCTAATTTATTTTAGACACGCATTCTTAAGATTGGTCATACTTCCCTGTTTTTCAGTGGAACATTGTAGCTATTATTTTTACTTATAAATAGTAATATTTCATCTTTCCTTTCAGGGTTCCCCATTTTGCAAAGTTGTACGTGAAGTACTTGTAGAGTTAGAACTGCCACACTTACTTCATAGGTAAAGTCCATTATGGCCATCTTGATTAATGATTTATGCATGGACAAATGTTATTTCAACAGCACTCTTTACTTCCATGATGCCATCATGTAATCCTTTAAATGAAGAGCTAGTATAGGATTGACATCTATTTATGTAGTCTAACATAAATTTAATACACTTTCATTGATATTTTAGAATTTGAGTTAGTGGCCATATGTATGTAATAATCAAAAATGAAAAAAAAAAGGAAAAAGGAAAAGTTCAACAGCACTCTTTACTTCCATGATGCCATCATGTAATCCTTTAAATGAAGAGCTAGTATAGGATTGACATCTATTTATGTAGTCTAACATAAATTTAATACACTTTCATTGATATTTTAGAATTTGAGTTTGTGGCCATATGTATGTAATAATCAAAAATGAAAAAAAAAAAGGAAAAAGGAAAAGAGAACATGTGTATATGTTATTAATCTATCCTTTTAAACCTTTGATCATTATCTTCTAATATTTGATGATTCTTGTTGACTCCTGTTCTTAACCTTATTGATATGATACTTTAAACCTTGTTACCAAAAGAATCCCCACACCTTGGGATTCCTTTGACCATTGCTGGTTACTAATTTTTGTTGTTGTCTTTGTTATTGTTGTTGCCATATATGTAAACCTTGTTTAGTTGGAAATTTGTAATATTTTATTTTTCTGAAATTATAATTAATCATTGGTATCATGACCAGATTATAAGTATTTCATGATACTCATGTACATATATCTCCTTAGATTATTATTTGAGAAAGTGAACCCACTAGATGTTTCCATTAACATATAAATATAAAGTTCAGCTTTTGTCTTCTTAGGTTGGGGATGTTTTGTGGGTGCTACGACTTGTCATGTCCTGATGGATATATTGCATAACCACTTTTAGTTCTTCAAACACTTGCAATAATTTGTCATAGAAATTAGGGTCTGTTTGGAAGTCAACTTTTTAGTGGCTATTTAGTTAAAATATGAGGTGAAAAAAATTAGTGTTTGGGAATGATTTTGACTTCTATACAAAAACATGCAAGTAGTAGAGAGAATGGAAGGAATTTTTCACCTTTTTTTATGATTTTATGATTTTTTTTGGTGACTTTTTAGCTAAGCCCAACAATCCCTTAGAACCATATTTCTTTTTGTCACCAAGGCACTCTTATTTGTGAGCTGGCATAATAGGGGGAAATTTTACTCAAATCAAGGGAAAACAAATTTTGGGATGGACATCACAGAAAATTTGTGGACACCACTCATTTTTGTTTTGTAGTTTATTTTTGTTTTGAAGTTTATATTCAAATATTTTATTTTATGCATACTTGTTTTTTATTTTATATAGAAATATCAATGAAGAAGTAATATGTTTGAGATAAACTTTGGATTCAGCCCTTAAAACACACTTATCTATAATTAGTTAAAAACAATAAAGTGAAGGCATTTTAAATCAACATTAGGCAAATAATTTTGTATAGTTGTACATCTTCCAATGGAATGAGTTTAAAAAATCTGCGTTGAGTTAAAAAAGGATCCATATCTTGCTCAAATTTGAAAAATGCCCACATGAAGTTCACAATTGTTTTATTTTTATTTTTTTCATTTGATGATTTAAGTATCACATGATTCACATCCATAAATGTCTACAGAGTCTAGAGAAAGATTTAGGGGCAAGCTGCTAAAATAAATCTAAATAGTGGGTGTTAAACAAATTTTTTTTTTGGGGGGGGGGGGATAAATTAGTGGGTGTAAAACAAATTGACTGCCATTGAAGGATCAATTAGCATTTATGATTAGGCAACAAGGATGCAGGTTGAGAAGTGGGCCGTGGTCACAGTGGAAATGGTGGCAAGGTGGTTTTAAGTTGTTTCAAGATAGATAATGGACTGATGGTCATTTTGAAAACAAACCATGGTAGTAGTGAATTTTGGAGAAGTGAGATTGCCTAATTTTATCTGTGAGTTTTCTTTATGCTGAGAGTTGCTAGCAATCTTCTTGTCGATTGCCTAAAAAGATGTTTCTTGTAAAGAAAGCTCAGCAATTTCTAAATTCATAGATTATTTTTGATACTGTTAATGTGAGTAATATTTGTACAGTTGTGATACTGATCTTGTGTTTAAATGAGTAAAAATGCAGCAATAACCTGAACAATGTATTACTTGTGCTTTGTAGAAAAGTAGAGCAGTGGATGCTATAATTCTTTGGTAATGAAACAAAAATTATAAAGTGGCCTTGTTCTTAGTATTAGAATTTAAAACCAAGTTGTGTGAGCAATACGTGCTTTGGTTGCAGGGCTTTCTGATGATACCAATGAAAGTGTTCTCAAGGATGCTTTTGGACAGCATGCTGAAATAATTGAAGGGGATGTAACACAGACTCACAATATCCTTGGGATTCTATATATACCTGTGAAATTCATTTAAGGCAATTTACGTTGTCATACTTAGCAGTGAAAGTTATATGTGATCACGTGACTGGAAAATCAAAAGGATATGGGTTTGTGCAGTTCAATTCTGAGACTGCAGCTGGTACAGCCTTGAGGGAAATGGATGGTCAGGTACATTTTGAGTGACTTGACATAGTTTGTCACTTGGTTGTAAATATGAGGTAACTAGGTATTTTTTTTTACTTTTTCCAACAACAGTATTATTTATATCTCAATTCTGTCTTATGCTTCATTTCAGTTATTGGATGGCAGACGTATACGCATTCATTATGGACACAAGGGGTTATGGCAGACGTATACGCATTCATTATGGACACAAGGGGTGACCACAAGGAACTGAGGTTTGATTCAAGAACTGAGGTTTGATTCAATACTAGAGTAGTTTGAGTTCTGTTTTTCACTTGGGTGGTTCTTATACAAAATGAGAGAGAAAAACTGAAGTAGGCCTCACTCACTTCCCACAAGCAATTATTGACGAGGAAGTTGACCTTACAGTTTGAATATACCATCTTTTCTGTTGAATAGCTCAATTGTTAGTGATTGGTACAGTTCTAACCTCTACATACTGCATTGATGCTTCACCATGTTTTCCTTTGACTAGCTCTCATGATTTCATCTATTGAAGAGTGCGAGTCAAACTGTTTATCATCCTAAAAGATAAGCATGTTCAATAATTCTGTCATGATCACTACAGGTGTGCTATTGAGTTTGGTATAGGCTGCATTAGTCAGAGATTATGTGCTTATAATTTCTATGGCTGTTTAGTTGATGTTGTCAGATAAATAATCATTCCTTAACGGTCTTCCTATGTCCCTTTGTTTAAAGTATGTAGATTTTATATTTGGTGGTGAGGTTTGTTCTAGGATCTATACATGTGGTTTTATTTTCTGATTTGGGTGGGACTAAACCCACAAACTTAATATCTATGTCGATAGTCCTCTCATATGTTTGGCCACCGGACATGTGAGGTATGTATGAGGGGTGACTGTTGATACAACCTTTTAGGCTGTGGATACATGAATTTCGTTTGTTATATTTGATTTATGCTACCAAAACCCCAATTTGTATGTTAATGACAGTTATTATTTATTGGATATGGATGCTTGGTAACTGTATTTTTGATTTTATGTTAGCAGTGGTGTAATGGAGTGGAAGCAGATCAATGAATTGATTGGGTGAAAGGAAAATAATGATCCAGATTAAGATGTTATGCTTGTTCTCTCTTCTCATTTCACCATTTTGGGCTATAGCAATATGTGAATTAATTTTAAAGCAGGTTTTTTGTTTTCTCCCCAACAGTTTTATTTTCTTGGGGATCAATTAGTGATAGGTAATTCGAGTTTGTACAATTATTTAACCCGACAATCAGAATTTCAACAACAAATTTCTGAGGCATTACATGTGCTGTTGATTTTCATCTCTTTTTTTCCACCATTTTGGTCCCCATTGATGTGCTACTCTGTTTGGTTTAAACGGATTCCCAAGGATGAATGTTTTCAAAGTTCTCATTGTTTTTTGTGTTTGATTCCCAAAGGTGAATGTTTTCAAAGTTCTCATTGTCTTTTGTGTTTGAAAATACAATCCCTGAAAAGAGCTGCAACTTTTGGGTAAATGAGTTTGCAGTGTCCAGGCTAAATGTCTATATATGTGTATATATAGAAATGGTTTGATTCAATTTCAAACAGGAACTGAAATCTGTGAACCTAACTGCATTTTTGTTTTGTAATTTTATATGATGTATTTATCATATGTTATCCTTTTCTATATTTATGCATACTTATGTAAATTTTATTGTATAAATTAGACAACAAATGGATCTAGTGGCATTCCGGACCAGGCTTCTCCACAAAAACATCAAAGATCGTCTTTTGGGAGTCATGAAATGCAACCTTCTAATCGGGGTAAGTCATCATTACAATACACATACATTGACACAAAATTTAGAACCACTGTTAATGACTTCTTTACCAATAAATTGTTAGTCAGTTTAGACAAAATTGGGATTTGATAGATTGACTTCTATACTTTGCTTCCTTTATTGGCATCCGTAAAAATACTAAACAAACTAGGGAAATCGAACAAATTTGAATATCAGTAACGTATCAAACTGTAATATACAATTAAAAATAGACCCTTGGATGTTGCTAGTGGTTGCTTGATTTGGTGGCTGCTACTAATGTTTGGCTTTATTGGCTGATTCAGACCAAATGTCAACCTGTTAGTTGCTTGCTTACATGTTCTAAGCCCTTTAGATGTCTTCAAGCATATCTAATCTTAGAGATCAACTTTGCAGTGCTTAAAGAACAACACGAAGAACTAATGCAGAGTTTTTTTTTGTTGGGTTTAAAAGAAAACAGAAAACATAGAAAGAAAACAGAGAGGGGTGGGTTTCATCATAATGCAGAATTTTTTTGGCTGGTATGGAGTAGGTTTCATTGCTACTTTGTTTGTTTGGCTTTTGTGATGCTTTATGGAAGCTTAGGTGGTGTTGGGTTTGGTGTGTTTAGAGTGAACCTGGAATATATGGAGTGATAAAGGTGGTGTGTAATTTCTTTGTATCTTTTTATTTCCTTCCTTTTGTTGTGGTTGGTATCTCTTGCCAACCCTTTTATTTCTCTTGATTGTGTTTGCACATGATTTTGCAGTCCTCCTTGTGCCAACCTAGTTGGGATGAGTTAGGTTCGCTATGATGCAATCTCACTCTTCCTTGTTGGTTGTTATATTTCTCCTTTATCTATAATAAAGAGTGCTTTATTTGGCTGATAAAAAATAATATGCAAACATGATCTTCAACTTCATTGTAATCTTTATTTTTTGATATGTAAACCGCATACTTACCAAAAAAAAATAAGACTAGTCGAGAATTATTTGTAGTCTAAATTTTCTTTACAGATTTTCAAATTGAAAATGATATTTATGCTCATTCAATTATTTTTATTGCAGGAAATAAGACAATATGAAAGCATCAAACAATGGACGTCATTTCTCGATTTGAACATTTTTCATGGAGGTCTTTATAAAATGGCATCATGAGTAATATTTTTTAGTACAATTGTCATGTGACAAGTTTATATGTACCTTCTGGATTATGGTGTGGCTATTAGTTTGCTAGAAATATTTGATCTATTTTGGTATGACAAGCTTATGTAATGAACCTTTTAATTAAGGTGTTTTGGATATTTTGGGATTATGAAAATGCAAACTATTTTATCTTTTACAATTATTGAGTATTGAGCCATTAGAATAAAATAGTGCTTTTATAGATATATAATGTGAGCAGGGATAAGTGAGGGACAACAATTAATGGTTACCAAACCATTGAAAATTTCAAGCTATATATTATTGGTAATTGCATAGTAAACATAGCATATAATCGGGGTTAATAACCGTCGCTACAAATAAAATTCAAAAAAAATCTATGGCAATAGTGACAGTGTAAAACTGATGGAACAGAGTCAAAATATAGAAGCGGTTCACAAAGCGTCGCAAAAGCGAAGGATATAGTAGCAATTAACCTGTCGCTATAAAGTTACCAAGTAATGGTTAAATTTATGATATAGTGACATTTATAACCGCCGCTACAGCAACCGTCGCAATAAAAAAAATTATACCAGCGTTTCACAAAAATGTCACTATAAGGCTATGCTGACGGGGCTATTGTGGTGGTTTGGCCGCCGCTATTGCAACCGCAGGTAAAGGTATTCTAGTTTTTAGCGACACTTTTTCTTGCTTTTAGCGACAGTTTTGGCCGCTGCTATAAGTGAATTTTTTTGTAGTGCCAGAACCAAGAACACATATCATTATGAAACATGAATAAAGGGATTAAATTATCAATAATAAAATAGCAAATATTCATCATTATCAAGATTATTGAGAGGCTCAGACTCCAGTAGATAATTATGGGTGCCATATACCTGCCTTAGTTCTGGAATAAAAATGTAAAAGCAGGTTTAAGTTATTGCTGCCCACATAATCCTGTGCCATGCCAATGATGGTACTGGCAAGACTCTGCTCACCATGATGGTAAGCTGAATGCTCAGATACATAACCAGAGAATTGAGCAACTTTTGCTTCCTTCACAAAGTTGCGCTTGAAAGAACAGAAAAGGATCTTCCTACTTGAGTTGAGTCCAACTCTTGGGATGACAACAAGAACCATTTGATTTTAATGATACCATTATTTAAGTATTCCACCAATAGGTTCAAGGCAAGACAGAGTAACCATATTGACTTTCAACTATGGTTCCTATATGCAGTATGTAGGAAGATTGAATCAAGAAACATCTCAACTTGGTGATGCTTCTCTCCCTTTTCTTCCATGCTAGGATTTCACTCTATTTAGTTTCCGAAGAGAAAAAGAGAATTCCAAAATTCTAACATACATTCTCAGCAACCAAACTAAGCACAAAAGAATAATTGAAGAAAAAAAAGTTCTCCCCAATTAAAAAAATGGAAAGCTGAACAAAGAAATTTTACCTGAAAAGTGTGTGAATATCAGCTGTTGTGGAAACCATTTGGCCTGAAAAGTGGAAACCTGACAAATTAAATCATTTCATCTACAAATATCAACAATTAGAGGTGATAACCATTTGGCCCTTCCAATCTACACATTTGTACCTTACTCGCCAATTAATTTTTATATCACGTGGTGTCAGATAGTCAATTTCAAATCCCTTTTCACATTTCAACAGTATTACTCACATGCTCTAGCATATGATACAAACCATAAAGTATGGGTGTCGCACTTCAATACTAGTAGTGTATCACAAAGTTATCAGGTGCAGAATAAGATCAATTTAAAGAACAATATGAGAACAAGAAAAAAGATACCAGGAACTCAACATGTATCAAAACTTGATAAATTCAAAGTACCCACCACATATGCGTTGGGCATACGTCAATGAAAACCAGTTTTCAGCTTGCTCAGTGTTAGTGACTTCTTCCTCACTCTCCTAATATACATAAAAGGGAAGAATAATAATAGGCTATAATCCAAGCAGGTTTCCAGGTTGCTCAAACTATAACTGATCAAAATCAATCCTTCGATCATTTAAACTTCATTATCATCATAAGGTTGACAAAGGATTTCTATAATCACTTAGTGCTCTTAGTGCTGACATTAAAATAATTTGTCTCCCTCTCAATTTTTCATCACAGTTGGTTGAAAGCAAATATTTGTGGAAGCTGCATGATTTACACAATAATGGAGCAAAAGTGTCGGATGAAATTCATCTTTTGAAAAACTTACTATGAAAATCGAGGTTAGTTTTCTATTCGTACTTAGTTTAGCATTCATCCAGCTGTTAGAACCTTTTAAAATTTTTGAATTTAACTTTTGGAAAAGGCCATAAAGCCAAGGTAAAGCCAAGTTGCACATAAAGGCAACTAATGATGGTACAGTTCGTGCTGTTGTTTCATGGTATAAATGTTGGTACCGTAATTACTATTTTCTATCAAAATTTTTTCTAGGGATGGTTATTCCAATATCTCAGTTTCTTTTTCAGGTGGGTACTTTAGCTTGATTGTGAAGCGACAATTTTCTATTCCACTGGCCCAAAATGGATAAGTTTCCCATTCAACAAGGAGTTACAGTTATCATTCCCTAGTGAGTGAAGGCGTTTTACATTACTTTATGTAATTATAATGTTCTAAAGTGGTGTTTGGAAGTTGCCTTAGAATGAGGAATCAATTAACATATAAAGCATGATGCTTTTTGGTTATTTGTTTATGTTGTCTCTTAGTTAGAATTAGGGAACAAAAAAGTGAAGGCTAAGGATAGTGCTAATGCATGTTACTTTAATGAAACACACTGTTTTTTCATTTTCTTAGTTGGACATCCTAAATCATTTGAAGAAGTAGGTCATATCTACTTCTAGAAATCACACAAGTATTTGAAGTTGGTTGCAAGTAATTTAACTAGAAATTAGATCTCCATATGAATGCATTAATGCATTTTTCTATTGTACTTAAGACTTAATTGGAAGTAATGTATTTATGAAGCTATTCTCAAATTCAGAGTAGGAAATTATACATGTCTACTTTCAGCAAAGGGTTCAATTCTTGAGCAGCTCTTGGTAGATGGTGAACTAAATAAAGCTTACATATTGGGATCCTCCGCATCAAATTCTATAATTTGATTCTCAATTAATAAAAGGTGCATTTTATGATTGTTATTTATTTATTTATTTTAAATTGGTTTTCATTTTATCAAAATTTTAATTTTCTTTGTTTCTTGTCTAGGTTCAGGGGATTGGTGTGACCACTGAAAACAATGTGCTACTTAACACAATCAAACTTAATAGTCCTCAATATAATATGCGCAAACCTTTTATGTATACCTCGCTGGTGTTTCATCATTTGGATGGCCCATTTCATAGGGAAACCAAGTGTAGTTTTCATTATTCATTTTAGAAGACAAACTACAACAATTAACACCCTCTAAAGGTAGACTAGATTCAAATTGGATATGGGCAATATTATTTCTGAATTTCAAAAAACAAAGAAAAAAATGAATCATCAAATAATTTCAGAAGGTAAATCCATCTAGTCCAGTAAACCATAAAAGCACCTCAAAGGAGCATAAGAATAGGCTAACCTCACCAATCCCCATAAAGGCACACATGACAATCAAGAAAGGAAGCCCAACTCTGGTAGCAATAGGTGTCAAAACTGTTGTAGCTGACGACCAGATCACTCCAAAATCCAATACTAGTTTCCCACTAATTTTATTTGCCCAGATACCTCCAAGAATCTATTTGCCAAAGAAATATAAAAAAAATCTAGTTAGTAAAGAAGGATGGCAAGAATTATTCAATAAAAAAAAAATAAATTACATGGAAGGACAATATCTCATCAAGAGCAATGAAGAGTTGATCACTATTTCAAATGTACAATCACCAAAGTATGTGGATTACAATTTCAACCACTGGCTTAGATGATGACAGCTAGAGACATACAGATTCAAAATCGTGACTGTTAATTGTTTCCAGATAAAAGGACCAAGACCCACTATAGGTGATAAACAAGAAGGGTTGTGATACTTGTAGGAAAAATAATTCTAAAATAAACTAGGAAAGTTAAATCAACATAAATTAGGAGACCTAAGAGAATAGGAAACTAGAATTCTTAACTATTTAAAATCCTAGTCAAAATCTAATTCTAAAATAATAAAATTAAGAAACCTAATAATTCTAAATTATTTATACTAAATTACAAGATTCCTAATAAAATAATTTATCAAAAATATTAAAACTAAAAATACAAAAAGTCTTAAAATCTTATCCTACATCAGTCTCCTCTTCTTTGAAAGAACTCGCCCTCGAGTTCATATTAGAGATCTGCCATCTTCCATGCTAAATAAACAGATATTTTGAATTTTTCAATTGCTTGCCCCTCTTCCAAAAGTTATATATTGGAAAGTTTTCTTTTTGAAAGTTCTTCTCTATATGCTTCAACTGGTTGACAAAATTAATTAGACAAGTATTGAAACCTAAATTTATTCCGTTTAAGAATGGTTGTGTAGTTCGATGATTGGTGAATAGGAAACCTGTCTATTTGTTTGAGAGTTGGGGTTTTATATATTATTTTGATTTGATTTGAGAGGTGAATTGATGTAATTTTTTAGAATCTTAAGGGCTTGGTTGGTTGTTGTTGTTTTTTATTTAAATACAAATAATGATAAAGTTGAAAAATATTTATTATACTCGTATTGTTTTCATTGTCATGCAAACCTTACATAAAAAATTAGTATTATTTTAAAAAATTAGTTTCTTTTCATAAAAAATTTCAAAAATAGTTCATCAAACAATTTTTTTTATTATTTTTTAAAAAAGAAAGAAAGTAAAACATAACTAAACAAATTTATTTACAAAAACTGTTTTACTTGTCAAATCTTATAATGGTGGTGCTGCACGCACTAATTAGTATATTAAATATTCAAAAATTTTAAAATTATGTTATATTATCCATTAGTACACTAATTAATATATTAATTAGTGCATATAACATTATTCATCTCATAAACAGGAAATAGAGGAGGATCAATGGTGTGATTTTAATGTCAACAAACATTTCGACACCCCACCGCCCAGAGTAAATTTCAACATATGTGTGGTGGGGTTCTCTGCAAATATGCTATAAGTGCTAAGGGGCAATACTCTCTGATGAATATGTTAGATTAGCCTATCTGCATATCCATTTTATGAATTAAAAAAAAAATTCT